AAAATCAATGGCTTAACGTGTTTCCGAGGCAAGGGTACCCCCTTGCCTCGGAAACACGTTAAAACGGAAACACGTCGCCAACTTCCTGACTGTAGGCTACTACTGGGAATTTTTCGAAAGAAAAACCCAAAAACTGGTTTTGGCCCGACCGGGGATTCTAGTCCGAGACCGTATGATTAGAAATCGCGTTAACGACTACTAGACCAACGAGGCAGTGAAAGTCCAATCCAAAATTTTTCGAATTATTCAAACCTCTGCGAAGGGAGAATTTACTAGAATTGCTACATAAAGTGGACGCTTCGGCGATAGCAGAACTAGATACTTTCATCTTAGATACTCTTAGATTTTGGCTTCTAAACAGAATACCTTAGTATGGTGTTTTCGCGATAATTGTGTCGCAATCTGATGAATGCCAATAGATTTGTAAAATTTTTTTTTATCATCATCATCATTACAGACCTTCACAAGCCCACTGGGGAACATATGCTTCATCACCGTAACTCTCATTTCCATACCATCGTCGGTCGAGCTGAAATGAGAGGTATGGTCCGTCGACCACGCTCTTACAGAATTCCAGCGATAAATAGCAGCTTAATACTGCTGTGTTTCATAATATGGTGAATGTAGAGATGCGGAGATCCTTTTTACTGGAAACGAGACATTCCATCTTAGTGCTCAGGGGTGACAATGCATCTGCGTTTTGATTCTTAATCGAGGATAAATGTAGATGTCTATGGGCCAGCATCCACTTACCGTCAGGTGGACTGTGGCTCATTTGTCACCCTTATCTATTAAAAAATACTCCAATGAACACCGCAAAACGCAAGCCACCTACATCATCATCTAGTTTCTGTGATATCAGTGCTGTAAGCCTTTTGGCTTTTAATGACTCATGGAACCCAGAGTCCGATAAATCTTCATCAGCTCACAGTAATTCAAATAGAAAGCTACTCGAACCGAATTTAGATAAAAACTTGTGAAAGAAGTGATATGATATTGATAGCCCATCGCTTACACAATCACAAATCCAATATCTTATCAGTCGTCATTTACGTACTAAGCAAGTGACACAGTTGCCGCATCCATTTTTGTAAGTTCCAAATAAACATGAGACCTGTAAGTCCCAAACCAGCATGGGTAAAAGTCTACAGCTGGAAATTGGCATTTTCCGTTGCAGGTGGATTGGAGATTGCAGTACCAGACGTCTTGCACCTTAGATGCTATTGCTCGTCGCTGATCTAAATGTCTTAGCTGGTATAAAGGAGATGGTAATACTGCCATTTATGAAAAGCCATGAAATATTTTATCTTTATTTCTCATAGTTGACGGCTCCGTGACGCAGTGGCTTAGCATTGAGTGGCTGCGCTGGGGGCCGCGGGTTCGAATCCCGCACGAAACAAGAATTTGTATGGCTTACAAATAGTTGTTTCGAGTCTAGATGTTTGTGCTAGTGCCATTTGTGTTTGTAAACTGCCTCCACGATACAGGAGAAAGTTCTAGTGTGCGAGTAACGTTTTTTTTTTAAATCTAACGACACACACAGGACGAAAAGGGTTGATGGATTATCTTTCACTCCCTCGGCCTTTTTAGCCATCTCCAAAGAAAGGAGAAAAATCTCTATTCTGATGTATATTGTTTTGTAAAATTTTGATTCGTTTATTATTAAATAGGTTATACTTCTTCGGAGGTTGTACTATATATATTTGAGGAAAATCTCCACCCAAAGGGTGGAAAACAGGGGATAAAGTTGTTAATGTACGATAAGAACAAAAAGGATAAAATAATTTCCTCATTTTAGCTTCAGGAGTCCGGGGTTTAATACTTCTATACACTATACTACGTCTTAGCGCCGACTTCTGAAGTTATTATGCGAAATTATCTTATCCTTTTGGTTTTTTGAAGTTGTTCTTTTATTTTTATTAAAATTCTAGTTTTACTACACAAACAACCTAATTTTCACTGCGTAGACATAATTATTCTTAGGAAAACTAATATTTTCTTGTGGAAATACTTTAAGAAAAGTGGGTAAACATTTAAATTCTGCATCTGCTGGTAGAATTAGTAAGTACTTTTTAAGGCGGTTGTGTTTTATGTATTCTGTAATAAGCAATCGTATTAATATTACAAAAAAGAAATAATACACATTTCATTCGGAACACTTACAGCATCGTACGATTGTTACGTAAGAATTTACTACCAAGCTTAATAATACCAATAAAACTAAAATATAGTATATTATGTTTAACATATTATAATAAAAATGTAATAATATCATAATAACCATGATATAGATACTTGAGAAAGCTCGTTCTGTTAGACATCGAACTTTAATTTAATTATAAAATAAACAGAAAATCACTTAAGGAAAATTAGATTCTAAGATATATTCTTGCCGATTTCTTTCAAAATGTTCAAATAAAATATTTAATTATTTTGAGTAGCGAAGATACATTTTTCTCTTTGTAAATTTCTTTATTTAGCTAAAATTCTGTTAAATAATACTCGCACATACGTAAGCTGCTCAAATACCTGGAAACCTATGAAAACTCGTGATCTTACAAAACCTGAGGGAAAAACCATACGATTAAAAGCATACGATTTTGCGGGCTAAGTGACATTAGAAATCAATTTAATTCAATTAATTGGAAATCAATTGATTCTCGCGTTGTTAGCAATTAACACATTTTGCTCGACTGAACTAAAAAATCAGTTATTATAAAGCCACTGAAGCCGAATTCTTGGTGACATACTGAAAGAAATCTTACACTCTGAATATCCAAATGTAGCACTATCAAAATGAGACTTAAGGATTTCCAATATGATTGATTGAGGATTTTTAAGATGATTGCTAAAGGCCCAAGAGAGTTATACTATGATTCGGATGTTATAGCGCTTTAGCGGGGTGGCAGTGGCGCGACGACAGCGCCCCAAAATTAAAGTAACAAATTGATACGTAGCATTATTTTATATTTACAACCTACGTTATAAGTATGTACACTTGCTGGGCACACGTACGTAAACTTACCTAAGTACTTATGTATCTGAATATTTAAGAATCTAATCGTATAAAAGTTATGAAAATTAATATTTGTTTGTTCGTATTTTACGCGCTGCCATACCGTTCACTAGGTTGCGGTGAAAATTTGTCAACATATTGCTGGCACTTCCGCGAAGATTATAGGAATGGTTGGAACCCGTAGGTGGCTCTGTTGTAGAATCGAGATATCACCCGTGCGAAGCCGGGGCAGATCACTAGTTATAAATATGAAAGAAAGTTTTATTATATTTGAATATAACAATATCCTTTCTAGAGTAAAATCAAAATGCGACAAATTAAAATTTCTGCATTTTCTTCGATGTTCAAAGGCTTAGCTTAGTTATATAACATATTGATTTTTTTTGTAAAAAATATTAGTAATCTTATTAACTAACATTACTAATAAATAAATTCCTTTTAACCACTCCTGGTAAGATTGAAATGCTTGTATTAGGAGTGGTTCACGACAGTAGTCAAATGGCGGATTCGAACCCACGACCTTTTGAGTTCGCGATACGCACCCTGCCATTAGGCTACTGTCGCTTAATTTAAATTTAAAATAAATCAACTATTTTCATAGTTTATTCTTAACAAGCGATCCGTCCCGGCATCGCACGGGTAATTTCTGGATCTCAACGACAGCTCCACCTACCGGGTCCAATAGACTAGAATAAACTATGCAAAGACCCACTCAAATACCCAAAAAATTTTATCAGTATCAGTCGAGCAAGTTCAGAGTTTTTTTTTTGTTTATTTTTTTATAGGATAGGATGACACACGAGCACATAGTCCACCTAAAGGTAAGCGGCCGCTGTGGCCCATAGACATCTACATCTATCCTCGATTACCAATCAAAATGCAGATGCGTTGTCATCCGTGAGGACTTAGATGGAATGCCTCGTTTCCAGTAAAAAGTGTGTCCGGTTCTCTACACTCACCACACGAAACACAGCAACATTAAGCTACTATTTGACGCTGGTATTCTGTGAGAGCGTGGTCGAGCCGACCCATTCGTGCCACAACTATACTACTAATATAACTGTTACAATGCTCTACCACGTAAAAAACAACGGACTTACGGTAACAATTGATGTTTATATCTAAAGATTATAAATCAAGCATAAAATTGATTAAAACTAATGTTTATTTAATATTGTAAATTTTTTCACCACAACTAACAAAAAACATTGAATTAAACCTACTTAGCTAATTTTAAAACAAAAGGGTTAAAAGCTCAAAGATGATGAGACGGATATACGAGAGTCATAAGGTTTCTTCAAGCCAAGGTATTTCGTTACGATTAACAAAGGGTTCATAACAATTAGAAAATGAAAGTATAGAAAACCTTAAAAAGAGATTTTCAATTTAATAGTAGTTTTATTGTATGTAACATGATAATATACTATTAGTGAAACTGATCTTAAAACACACTTGTATTTCAAATCCTTCATTATTATTTCACCATAATTATTGGTTGTTAATGATAGAGTTCTATTTGTTAAATATTTGTCTACAATGGCAGCAATATGTAAGGCATCAGTCACATTTTGCATAAAGATAAATGTTTGATTAAAGAAAAAAAAAACATAATAACGTAATTTTTATATATTTGGAATATTAAAATTTATTATGTTTCAGAATAAACTATCATAGAATCTAAACACACATTATCTGTTATTAAAATCAAAAAGTCTAACTTTAATACGGTTTGAAACTGAGGTCATTATTGCGCGCATGCGTGTCAAAGGTCGCTCTGTACTGGCACCGGATGGACCGTTCAGTTTCACACTCGTACTTCTCCCGCGAGCTGCATCCATTAGCGGTCACCCTACGGAATTCGGAAAACTTTGCAGGAATTTTTAAAATTCCAGAGCGGAACTATTGCAGTTGCGATTATTTGGAACGCTAAGTAGTGGCTGAATGTCGGCGTCTAATGTGTAAATTATCGTGTAATTTAAGCGACATGCAGTGGGCAACGGTTGTGATACTTTTCAGTATTGTTTGTTCAGGTAAGTTCAAATAAATTATTTCAAAGACATTGTATTCAATGTAAAGGTTTGAAAAAGATAAAACTCGTCCGTGTCTTTTTTATGGAAATAATTCGTCAGAACTATAACTTAAATTACCGTTAATGTAACAATAACTTAATGCTAAAAGATCGAGTAGGGATTAATAATATAGATATGTTAAGAATTTATAATACTATATTATAATTAAATTGGTTGTTGTGAAATAAAATTAAAAGCTGCACCTTTTTCTTTAAAATCCGCAATCGTCTATTTTATTATTAGAATGATTTTTCACACAATGTTGTAATTATTTTATTGTTTAAATGTATGCCTTCCTTTTAAAGCATTAAACATCAAAATATATTAATTTTGTTAATATTTATTTCATTTTCAATTATACTAATAATTGGATAATATGTAATACATATTATCTAATTATTAAATAATGTGTATTACATATAATATAAAGTAGCTTGCCAGGCAGACGTTGTTTTGCCCTATTCGACTACCCTTTGTCATGTCTAATTAAAAATCCTTAAATTCGCAAAAAAAAAATTGTTGGTCACTCATGAGCAAAAACTATCCTATCTCTCAAGTTGGACCAAACTGCACACGGTGTGTAAATTTGATTAAAAGTTTAGGAGTCCACCGCGGACAAACAACGTGACACGTAATTTATATATATTCCGATATGAAAGATGGTTTTATTGTATTTGAATATGAAAATATCCTTTCTAGAGTCTAAAAAAAATGCGGCAAATTTAAATTTTTGTATTTTGTTGGGTGTTCAAAGGCTTAGTTAAAGAATATATTGACTTAAAACAAATCAACTTTTTTCATACTCTGTTCTTAACTAACGATCAGCCCCGGATTCGCACGGGTGATTTCTGGATCTCAACGACAGCTACCGGGTCCAATAGTAAATATAAACCATCCAGGGACTTACTCAAGCACACAAAAAATTTCATCAGACTCTTCTTCTTATACCAATAATTAGATAATTAGTATCTAGATAAATCATAATCAATTAATCAACTTTTATATGATACATACAATATTATTGCCTACTTCAAAGGAAAAAAGCACCTAATGCGTTGGTCATACGTTTAATTGGCAGGTCAGTCCGAATGTCAATTACAGTTCATTCAACTAACGAGGTTACGCACCAATAAAATACATATTATCATGAAAATTACTCGCCTTTCCTGTGTGAGGACAGTCTATTATTTTTGTTATTATTTTCCAAGAATTTATTTCCCATGTTAGAATATATGTATGTACAAAATTGTTCCAGATATTGTGGAATTTTATACATATAAATCTCCACTTCTCCTGTTTTGCATTGCAATAACAAAAAAAAACATACGTGTGGTAGATAACTATGATGCAGCAATATATAGTTGAAGCACGAATAGGTTGGCTCGACCGGGTAAGACCACGCTCTTGCATAATACAGAGTAAAATAGTAACTTAATGCTGCTGTGTTTCACATAGTGAGTGACCCTTTTATAGGATGACATCGCATCTAAATTTTGATTCTTAATCGAGGGTAGACGAAGATGTCTATGCCACACCATTCAATCACCATCAGGTGGACAGTGTGCTTGTTTCTCTCCCGTAATTCTATAAAAATATATTTAAAAAGTATACTTTGTTTAAGTTCAACAGTAGCCTAATGGCAGGATGCGGACTTCGAACTCGAAAAGGTCGTGGGTTCGAATCAGCCATTCAACTTTTGTGTTTTTTTAATAGGATAAGGGTGACAGACGAGCATACAGTCCACCCGATGACAAGCGGATGCTGTGGCTCATAGATATCCACATTTATCCTCGATTAAGAATCAAAACGCAGATGCGTTGTCATCCTTGATGACTAAGAAGGAATGCCTCGATTCCAGTAAAACGAGACTCGGGTTCTATACACTCACCATAAGAAACACAGCAGCATTAAGCTGCTATTTTACGCTAGTATTCTGTAAGAGCGTAATCCTTCCCCGGTCGAGCCGACCCATTCATGCTAAAACCGTAATAGGTGCAGTGTAGCTTTACCACGTAAAAACGTGGTGAACTACTCTTAACATAAGCATTTTAGTCTTACCAGGAGTTATTAAGGAGCATGTTCGTAATGTTAATAGCATTGCTAGTATTTTTCTTTTTTAAAAAAAAAAAAAAAAAAGCCCCCCACCCTCAAAAAAAAATTTAAGTAGAAAAATACAATTTTTTTTTTTTTTTTTTTTTTTTTTAAAAAAAAAAAAAAAAAAAAAAAAAAAAAAAAATAGTGTCAGTAACAGAGTGGTTAGTATCAGTACAATTTTTTATCTATTTCATCAAAGTACAGTTTTAATTACAATATAATCTTTTGACTTGGGATTTTCCTTGAACTTCATCTCGTAATCGTAATATTCCTAAGACACTCAATGTTATGTTTTACGTTGTTATGATGTTGTTATCTGGTACGTAATGGCTCGAAAATGAAGTCGGTGCATAGTACATAAATATATATAGTAAATAAATATTTCAGGGTAGTTTATAACTGCTGTTTTTAAAAGTTGTCGAAATAATTGAAACCAGTCCATAAGAAAATTTAGAAAATTACAATTAAATACTAAAAATAATATTTAGATTATCAATTTTAACACTACTTTTCATATATTAGCATCTTCCATTAAAAAAAAAAGAATATTAACAATGCTATAAACATTACTAATATTTCCCTTAACCACTCGTTGTAAGCTTGAATTGCTTGCGTTACGAGTGATTCACGCCAGTACTCGAATGGCGGATTCGAACCCACCACATTAGCACCTTCTATTGGCTGTACATTTAATGTTATATTAAATAGAAGATAAAGAATAAACATTATTATAGTAAATTGTGTCCTGAGGTGGTGACGTAAGAGAATTCTTTAACTCTTATCGTCCCGTGGACGAAGGGAAATAAAACAGGAGATCACGCAACAGCTTCTTCCTGATAATAACTTCAAATAATAAAAAAAATCTGTGGTTTTATACGTGGTAGAGCCGAACAAATAGGTCGGCTCGACCGTAGTAGGGGACCACGCTCTTACAGGATACCGGCGTACAATAGCAACTCATCTGATGTGTTGCGTATGGTGAGTGTAGAGAACCGGAGACCCTTTTTACCGGAAACGCGGCATTCTGTCTCAGTCCTCAGGGGTGGCATCGCATCTGCTTTTTTATTCCTAATCGAGGATAGAAGATGTAAATGTCCATGGGCCACAGCATGCACATCAGGTGGACTGTATGCTCGCTTGTCATCATTATTCTATAAAAAAAGTCCATGGTTACCAGTCTGACAAGGGTGCCTGGTATGATAAATTTTTTTTTATTTTTTTCTCACATCAAACCACAACCTTATTACTATAGGGTGCACTAATAACTATTATAACAAAATCAGTTTGAGTCAATCTGCACAGGAGGCCACTGCTATAGTGGACTTTTGATAGACTGTAATGATGATAATATGAATCACCACAATCATCCATCACAGCCCACTGCTAAATGTAGGTCGCCCACACATAATGCCTTAAATAGTGGTATTTTGCCACAGTTGCCACGCTGGCAGGCGGGTCGGCAACTGCAGTTTTTTATTATTTTGCGTTGTTATTAAGAAGATGTTGCTGTCCATCTCCAGCTTCAGTTTCGCTCTGTCGGCTCTTACGACACCCACGGCACGATATAGGGCAGTCGATATTCTTACACCACCACTACAAGGTTATGACAATGAAGGAATAGTTATATCAGTGGAAGTTAGTAGATGTTAATTAGTGGAAATTCAAAAATCTTATGTTAGAAAAGGTTATTTGTTTTCCTTCTTCACCTGCCCGTAGAACATGGGCTATGAAACATGACCCACTCGCGTTGTACTATCCGAATTTGCCATAATCGTCACCCTTGGCAGAAATCCTATACCTTTAAACGAGCAATTCTTGTGATATTATTATGTATATATATATATATAATCGGAATCTCGAAAACGGCTCCAACGATTTTCATAAAATTTATGATAGGATTTATTTTTAGAAAATGTCCTTTTGTCCGTGTTTTCAGGCAATAAAAAACTGCTACAATATAAGAAGGTAAATTTTGACAGAACACTAACGATGTAATAGCTCAGGTGGGATGTCGGTCGGGCGTGATATCGGAGTTCCGTGGTTCGCGTCCCGTCTCTGGTCCGACTTTTTCCTTTTTTTTTCAAGTTTCCTTCTTTTGTGAGAAAATCTATTATTTCCCTTTATTTATTAGCCCTTTTTTTAGTATTTTTTAAAAATACGAAAATTTTAATAAAACTAATTGCACTCATGATTTTTTATTCAAATAACCAGTTCAGTTTTTTCTATTCTGTCAATAAGATCAAAAAATATTATTTATGTTTCATCAGTATGTAATTTATAAATGTAATTTCAAAAAAACCGAGCAAAGTTCGGTCATCCGGGTACTTTTATTTATTTAAACAAAAATTCGTTTTGTTTTTATTCGTACAATATTAGAATTTAGTAAAGTAAGAAAAACGGAAAGTTGTTTATAATTGCTTGTAATTACGAACACGACACAGGACGCATGGCCGTGTGGGGCTTCACAGAACTAGACTACAAAACAGGATATATGATGTAAGGGTAGAATATAGGAGTGGTTTAGCGAGCCAAGCCCTTAGGACATTAACCGCTTGAACCAGAAAGTAAATACTTCTTATTATTAATCACTTTATTCTATTTGTTTTATTTAGAATAAAACGTTACCCACATAGTAGAAGATTCTAGTGTATCGTGAAGGTGGCTTACTCAAATAAATTGCATGAGCACACATGTCCAGAACCAGAACAACAATTTGTAGGTCAAATTAAAGATTTATTCCGTATCGGATTCAAACCCGCGACCCTTCAGCTCCACAACAAAAAACTTAGCCACTGTACTATGAAGCTGTCGAAATTTTTAAATTTATGAATAACACTTTGTTTCATATTAACTTTTTGAATCTAATA